AGCTCACCTCAGTTGAATATGGCGTCAATTTTAGATCCTTCTAATTCCTTCTTCTAGTTGTTATGTTGTTAAGTTTGTTAGATAGTTTGTTAGATATTTCACTCTATAAATAGAGCAATGTATTAACAATGTGAATTGAGCTTGATGAATAATAAAATCCCCCTCTCTCAAGTTCATTCAATGTGATTTTCATGTTCAACTCTTATCTTTTAATTTTAGTTTATTACCTGCAGTAGATCAGCTTCAATTTCATTTCCCTTCCTTGATTCTTAACATGGTATCAGAGCATATTATGTTCCAACGAGCGATTCGATCCCGTTAAAACTCTAAAATGAGCACGTGAGTTTTAAGATTGGTCTACTCAAATGAACCACCATCTTGTAGGGGCGTGTTAAGGAATATATATCCCACATCGATAAATGATGTTGACACAGACCAATTAATAAAGATTTTGGGCTATTTCTTCTTAATAAGATTGATTTTTTAAAATGGAATCCCAATTCTTAATATGGTATCAGAGCAGGCCCAATTTTGCAATGTTGGGTGCACCCAATATCGATTTGTTCACAGTTGTTTGGCATTGTCCACGCTGTGTGTGAGGGGGCGTATTAGAAGTCAAACAATCAATATTAACCACATCTTTCATTAGTCCCACAACTTTTCAACCACAAATTTCAAAAACTTCTATCACAATCTACTAAAAATCAAATTTTAACTCCTACCAAAACACCCAATCTGATTATTTTTCCAAACAATTTAAAAAACTTCTATCTCAATTCACTAAAAATCTAATTTTAATCCTCACCAAACACCCACATGATGTATTTATTTACAATTTTACTCCAAAACAATTGCATAGAGAATTATTAAAAAAAAAAAAGCTTCCAACTTCAAAAAGGAAAAGAAGATTATATATAGGATCCCAAAATTAATCACATCTTTCATTAGTCCCACAACTTTCCAACCACAAATTTCAAAAACTTCTATCACAATCTACTAAAAATCAAATTTTAACTCCTACCAAAACACCCAATCTGATTATTTTTCCAAACATTTGCTTTAGTAGTTGTTTGGTGGGGATTAAAATTAGATTTTTATTAGATTATGATAGAAGTTTTTGAAATGTGTGGTTGAAAAAATGTGGGACCCATGAAAAATGTGGTTAATATTGATTGTTTGACTTTAACTTAAATTAAAATCTAATTTTAATCGGAAACAAACAAGGCCGTCTTTCTTGTCAATGGGCCATTCTCTTTCAAAAGTAATCTAATATGAAAAATTCTTTTTTTCTATCTTGAGGTGACTCCAATAAATAAAGCCCTGACATGTTTGTGTTTTGTCAAGATTCAATGATGAACTCGGTCTTTAGTTTGGTTTTAAAAAAGTATTATCATAATTGTTTTGAGTAAGAATGATCAAATAAATTTTCATGTAAATAATAGCATTCAGTTGAATCCTCCTAAATTATTGGGATTTTTAGCCTTATAATTTTATGTATATATTGAGCAACAAGAATTGTAAATGATCCAAATGAATCATGGGAATTATGTTTTTTACTTATAAGGTCCCTCTAATCAGGGGCGGACCCACCACCCGACGAGCTCCCGCGGCCGCCCGTGCTGGATCAGTCGGGAACCTTTTTTTTATTTTTTTACAATAGATAAATTGGTTAGATTATATAACTGTTATTTCATTTCATTTTCAAATGCCTCCTTCAGTTGAGTTGATTAGAGCTTGCAATTCTTATGAGATGTTTTTGGTTCGATTCCCTACCTTGCAATTCATATATTTTTAGTTCTCCAATTTTTACCATTTTACAATTTTTACCAAAATTAATGGCAATATGGAGGGAGGAGTCGAACTCATGACTATCCTTAAATATTATTGGAATCCTTACCATTAGGGCACTTGCCGAGTTAGACATTATTAGTAACATAATAATATATATTACGTTTTAATAGTTTTAATGCAATTGTAAAAATTTGAACTCGAACTCTTCCTTTGAATTGTAACTTGGCAACAATGTCATTTGGTAAGTATTTTTAACTTATATAAAAAATTATATAGGTTCAATTTGAACAAAATAATTTTTATATTTAAATTTTAGGCTTTGATTCCCATTTTTTTTAAAATACATTTTTCTCTCTTTTTTTTAACTACACAATTTTTCAATAAAATAATATTACACGTAAATTCAAAACTTTTCCTTATTTTTCAACACACATTCTCCAGCAAATCACTATTCTAAAATACATTTTTTTTTAACAAAATGAGCTCTTAATATTTTATTGCTATCGACGGCCAACGGCCGTCCGTACTGACTTACAACCCTAGATCCGCCCGTGCCTCTAATCCCCTTGAATTAGCTCGACAATAAAGTTTCGAACTTAGATCGAGGACAAATCTTTCTCTCATGGAGACGAGAAAACCTAGCTATGAACATATATTTATGCGGGGGAAGAAATGACATTTGGAAGCATTCGACTGAACGATATAACGAATATTTCAAGATAGTTGATTAATTTTATTATTCATCAAAATTATGTAGAAATAACACTCCATATAGTGCTTCTCCTGACAAAAGTTGTGGGGTTTCTATGATAGTTATTTGGGGGGAAAGATAAGGAATAAATTTAGCAATGGTCTAATCCCCTCCTTTTTTAGCCCTCTTTTTTTTTTGTTGCTTTAGACTCTTTTCATTCTTCACTTCAATCATGGCTCTTCAAGTTTTGCATAGCTGTAAATAAATACAAAACTTATTCTGTCCCTATGAATTGTCGTAAATAATAAATTTGACACATTTAGTACGTTAAACTAGATATTATTACTGCAGAAACAATCGTAGAAGAAAACTAAGTCTTTTCTCAACTATTAGGAATCGGCTACATGAATTCTTTTCGTAATTTCGTTCGATTCATTGTAGATCTATTAAACGACTGACAAAATAAAGAAGCTAAAATCGTGTAAGTTGTATAAATATAGTGTTGATATATCCTTCTGTGTTTTGAAAATATATTTGGCAGCTTTCTTTATATGGTTCACCTAGTGGGTGATTTTTAGATGTAATGCCAGCTACCCAATGATGAATCTATCTGGTATTGTGTCCCATGTCAGGATTGGGCAGTGATAACTTGTGATATTACCTCAAATCTACCAATCTAATTTAGTGCATTTAGCACCAAAAATTGTTTGTGAAAATGTCCAAGGAACTCCATACAGTGCTTCAGTGTGTGTGATTGCATAAAATGAGTTTGAAAATATATATATATATATATTTAGAAGTGCTACGAACCCTTACATTTGGGATCGACTGCATAAAACCATTATCGATGAATCAATTAGATTCTTAGTAACCACAAAATTTTATATTGATGTTTACTCCTTTTGACATGTTTTACTATAACGTACTCATTTTCGTAAATTTCATCTTAACGACTTCGTGTCCTACAAAGTGTATTAGATCTAATTATCATTTTATAGAATTGACACTCTAACCTTAAGCAGACGATGCATAAATGAAGGCACTTCACATGCTCAGACGATAAGTTAGATTTCGTGGCTCACACGCTCCTCGTTGTTAAATTGTGTAGCCTAATTATTGTCGCTACATGGAGTATGTAAACTGATGGACCTCGCAGTATATAAAGATAGTTTAAGAATTTCATATTTGTAATTTCGATTTTGTATTATTTTTTCTTATAAATAGGAAGCCGTCATTACGATTTAGATATCATTGTCTAAAAGAGAGGGATTGAGAATATAGGGAGTGCAATTTTTCTTTTGTAAACTTCTATACATCTTATTAAACAAAAAAACTTGGTTTAGATTCATTGGCATCTCAACATGGAATACTTAGGAAACACCATGGCACTCCCTTTTCCCTCAACTCCGACACGAATGTCCGTATATTGATTTCTTTAACTTTGTTTCTTCAGACAAGGTATAGTATTAATTAAGTTAAGAATCAAGATTATCAACATCAAAACGCACAAAAGCGTACTCTCTAAGATTATTACACAACTTTTACTTTTATATTTTTTTATTGTATATAATCAGACTGAGTTTCAGTTGCATCCTTTATAAAGCTTGAAGATATACAAGCGTCTTATGTTAAAATAAAAGGCAAATGCATTGAAACTAAAGGAAAATTGCTTCAAGACAGAGACAATTATTCTTTAATGAAAGCCTTGCAAGTTTGTCTCTGGATATCCTATTTTCTGGTAATTATCTGATTGCTCTATCTTTCTTTTCCATTTAACATAATTCTGATTAGGTTGTTAGAGGTAAGAAGAGGGAGGGGTCACCGAAACTAACATGGGCTATGAGTTTGTTCAAGGATCTCTTCGAGTAAACCTAGCAACGCATTCATATAGTCGACCCCAAATTTATTTCGTAGCAAGCCTTCGTTTTTGGTGTTGTTTGTTGTTGCTGTTTCCATTTTAGGCACCCTTTCAAGAAAAATCTTGATCATCATCAGGATCCATCCTCAGATTATCAGTCTGCACTTGAAATTTGTTAATTTCTGCACATGTTTATGCAGAAAAATTAAAGAAAACAATAGAGAAGAAGCCCATCACATGAAGTTATCATCTAAAAAAAAACATGAAGTTATCATCTGGGGAATTTTCTTTATTTTGATATTTTCCGAGATGCTAGATAAAGATATTGATGAACCCGAATTTTTAAGAACATTTCAAACCCAAACATGTATCCTGTTATTCGTCGTTGCTTTTATGGTTTGTTTGCTAAGGTAGACTCCAAGTACTATCCAGTATTTTGTCGTAGACATTCCCATAGGTATCTGCATTTCGAAAGTATTTCGACTGCCTAACGCTTTCCTCTTACCAGGACTAATCATCCCTGCAAATGAAGAGTAGAAATACGTGCTTCTAATTAACCAACTTCAATAATAGTCGAGAGACATAATATCGAAAATAAACAGCTCGTAAGAATTCTCCGACCTCGGCGCCACGATATAAGCCACGGGAGTAGGTATGAGCATGTACAATTCAGACAGAACAAAGGCATGGAACATCTATACAAGTTCAGATCCTAGTACAACTCGAACAGAAGATAACATGGAAAGTTCATGGAACAATTTTGGCTCATCTATGAATGCGATTTCTTTCGGGTTTGTTGCAACATTAATCTTGATTTCAATGTTTATTATCATGGCCATATTTGAGCATCTGTTTAGGCCAACGACTGCATCTGAAGATGATGCCACAAGGCAATCGGATTCGACACAAATTCAGAAACTTGGAGATCAAGAAACAGTGAGCCTTCTTCTTTACTCTTCTCCCTCCATTTTTTCTATTGATACATGCTGATGTCTTTCTTCGTGCGGTGACTGTATTTGTGTCCCACATCGCCAAGTTAGGGCATGACTTATGGCTTATTAGCTATAATCAGTGTTCTAAAAAAGCGACGTCTAAGCGCGACGTGGGTGCAAAACGCCTAATCTTGCACTTTTTTACGCTTTTTTTCCTTTTAATTATTAAATAATTTTTAGATTGATTTAAAAATTTAAAATAATATTAAAAATAGAAAACCTTTTTTATGCTTTTTCTCACATAGGTTGAAGGTTGATCTTCCCATTTCGCCACGCTTTACGTTTTTTAAAACACTGATTATAACCACCTGAGCAGCCTCTCTTTATATCCGTTTTAAGGGTTGAGTTTTACCCAATGCGGAAGTAAAATTTGGTTTAAAACAGACGTTCTTCTGAGGATGCCCCTCGTTTCCAGATGGGACGACCTCTCTTGGAGAGATCTCTTCCAGTACACCGACTGGATGTCGGTTATAAAAGCTGGTGCGACTCTAATTGAGGCATAGGTTCCAAAGAGATGGGAGAACAACATGAACTGAAATTTAGTAGTGAAAAAGAATGCTCTAAATTTATTAAATTCAAGGCATAGTATATTGTACGTTTTAATTGTTAAAGAAGAGTATATGAACAAACAAATCAGAACAGTTTCTTCATCTGCATTCTCTTGATTGAATCTAATGAAGTTGTTTCTTGTGACAGGTAGAAACATCAGATGCATCAAATTTCACAGTTTTAATGCCAGGACAGCAGTGTCCTACCTTCATTGCTCAACCTGCTCCTCTGCCTTGTCAAAGGGAAGCTGTTTCTTGGCCTTCTCATCAACATAGTTGTGCATTGCCTTGAGACTACAATGTAACATTCCTGCATCCCATTATCATACAAAGATGAATCAACATCTCGAAATGGATAGTATCGGATATGATTAAAGAAAAAAAAAGTTAAAATCTTATTTGTTGTCTAATATTACATACCAATACCAAATAAACACGTGTTAGAATCCCGAAACAGCTCGAGCACAAGAATTGATTAAATAATGTTTATAGGATTATACCTCAAAATCTCTATGTTATTTATTTATATACTTCTAATTGCAAAACTATTAAAGACCAATTATTATGTGGAATTCGTAACTTCAATTTTCAGAGAACACAAGTAAATACTACGCTAAAGAAGATAATATGTACTCTTTGCAATGATAAAAATAGGACGGGTATCCCTAGCATTTCAATTTCTGTTGTTTTGGGTGCCAACATTCAAAAGTGAAATTTTGGATCATCAACTTATTTAAATATGTCAATTTGGATTCTCACATGACAAAAATCGTCAATAGTAGACAAAATAGCACAACTTAAAGTCAGAGAGCAAAACAAACTACTTAACTTCTAACTTTAAGTCACGCGATAGTCATTTGCAATTGCACAAGTCACGTAGGGATCCAAATTCACATATTTAAATATGTTGAGGACTTAAAAACATCACTTTTGAAAACTAGGGACTTAAAATGGCCAAAACAACGCTACCTAAAGATCGGGGAGCCAACCCTAATTTTCCCCTTCGTAATTACCATCTATCAAAGAAACAGCCAGGACCTGTGATTATGAAAAAGTTATGGCTCAAAGCTAGAATTCAAAAGAATCCGAGAAACACGACAAATTATCAACTGATATGTATGTAAAGTTATTCTTCTATCGAGTTCAAGTGTAGGATACCATTGCAAGAAAATGTCAGGGTTCAAGCTATAACACATTTAAACCGCAATCTTTTAAAAAATTTAAGAAAGCACGAATAAATTGAAAAGGCCGACTTGGTACTTTGCATACGACTAACACTAAAAGAAGTCGATCATTATTGTAAAGCACTGTCGTGCTGATCAAACCACTTGGAAATTCTCTGTAGATAGCAATGTTCTTTGGGAAAACTTTGGCGGATTTCCACCCCTCGATGGTAAAATATTAACCACCTGTGAACAGTGAAATCAATTTGTAAATATTTATCAAAGCAGTAAATTATGACAATCGAAGCACGGCAACAACTTCGTAATAGAAAAATAATCTCCTCAACATAAATTCGCCAATGTCCATTTAAGGATTTCAAACATCCATCAAGCTTTAGTGGTCCACTAATATCAATAATGCGAAGTATTCAAGATAATATATGTAATGAATAATTATGCCTGTCCTAATACGATGGTAGGCTGAACAGTGCAAGGTGTGGTTTCATCACAGGATCTAGATCAAACCATGGCAGATGTAGTATGGGTTTAAATAAGGTGCGACTGGCTGCAACCACCCATTTTCAGCATATATTTCTGGGTACCAATCCCTAATTCTACAGGCAGATGAGGGAAGTTGGCAATTCCAGATTTATTTTGCTAGTCAGTCGGTATGTGTATGTACAATGAAATCTCATTGTATGCATTACAAATGTGAATGCATTATCGTAGAGGCATGGAAGAGGTCAAGTAAATAAATATAATAAATTAGGGCATGATTATGGCAAGATGACGTGATAAAAGGGATCAGGATATAACCTTTACATCACTGAAAGTGCTTGTAGCAGTAAAACGCACAGAAATTGGGAAAAAGGCTGATGTGTCCGCGGGAGGAACAACAAATTCCATAGATCCACTGCAATTTTATCCAATATCAAATCAGAAACAATTAATTAAGGTATGACTGGTAAAATAGAATAACATCATCATAAGCGTACCTGCGATTTGAGTTATCAATGAGTTCTATAGACCACTCCAAAATGGAATTTCGGGAATCATACCTACAACGGAACATTATTGGAATGTTTAAAACCTGTTTGCAAGTAAAACAATATAATAACATCTATAATAGCAACTTATCATTATAGGAGACATCACATTATAGGTCATCCCAACTACTCTCAAAATATAGACCCATAAATGTTTCAATAAATCAAGGAAAAAATATAAATCCAGACAACATGACAATTATGGCAATTTTTCCAGAAAGTAAGATCAAAAGTTAAAATAAACCCTTACCTCCAGTCCCCATCTATCTGTTGTACACTTGGTGCCTCTCTAAGAGGCGGAAGAGGTACAGATATCACAACATTCTGCAAGTCAGACATCGACGAAGCTTCATACTCCATGCTCACATAGGTTTCATTCCCAGAAACAGAAGGCCAGCAGTTAACTGCCAAAAAAAAAGAAGAAGAAACAGATCAATGCCAAAGCTACAAAAAACTAATACCCTATTTTTTGTGTTTTCTGTTTCAAAGGTGGCAGGTGGGATGCAACAAAAACCAAGCTCACTTGAAAATGGCACAAGTGACTCGTCTGCACTTTGCATTCTCCACTTCAAGAGACCAACACCATCACCACTGGGAAATGGCCGATTTGTATCCTTGAGACCCAAAATATTTTCATTGGAAAACAATTCCTTGTTGATATTGGGGTGTGTCTTATATAAAATTCCTGGATTACCACCACTCTCAATCTGAATATAAGCAAATATAAGAATGACATATTAGATAGATAACCCGAACAAGAACAAAGAAACTAAGCAGTAAGCATAATTACAAACACTGCTAAGTACATAAGAAGCAGTAATGGAGGAATGAAAAGAAGAAAAACCTGAACTTGGATGAGACCATCATCCTGATTAAGTATTTGGAGAGACAAGGTGCCCTGAACATCAAAGTTTCCAATACCACCGTCACGTTTCAAAGTTACATTAAGCTTTTCTTCAACTGTCAATGTGACCGGATCAGTTGGCGTTGGAGCAGCTGGTTTGGACTGACCAACACTTGGTCTCACATCTTCAACAATCACTTCACCTTCAGCTTTCAAAGATTCCAAAAATTGGTTGGTCCTTTGTGTTTTCCCTAGCTTCATACCAAGACCTTTTGGTGGAGCTGTAGCAGATGATGGAGGACGACCTGATCATAGTATACAATTTTCAATAAATATCTACCTCTTGTTAATCAATATATTATCTAATGCACCAGGAATAAAATGCTATAAAAAATTAACCAATACAACATGCATAAAACATTGAAGAGATAGAAATCACCAAACAATAATAAGTTCACTTTCCATTATTTTATTCTTGGATATAAAAAGAATGCCGATAAGAAAACATTTATCCCAGGGAAAAGACATGAGAAATCAAAATAATAGATTTCAGTACACCCCTCTATGATAGATAACAGAACTTGAAACAGTCGATAATCCAATAGTGAAGCAAGGTTATTACACTTCTGTCAGAGTTGACAGAGATTCAGAGGACAGTTCTTGTATAAAAGTATGGACATTCTTTGTTATAAGGAATTTATGCAGCTGTACAACTGCTGTATATCAAAAAATTAAGTGCCTTTACAGCTCCGCTAGATAAAACAAACACAGACCTTTTGACTTGGAGGAGAAGGATTCCACGTCAGTGGTTAATCCAAAGCCAGAACCACTTCCAAAACCACCAACATTATTAGACATGCTCGTGTCACTACCGAAGCCAGTGTCAATTCTTCCAGAACCCATCGACTGCAGAGACATATATCCTCCTTTCTCCCCTCTATTCTTCTCAATCTACAAAGATTTACACAAAAAATCACTCTATATCATTTTGAAAACCAATAAAAATGACATGCAATAACAAGGGACCTGCGCAATTACCTTGCTTTTATCTATTTCATTGGCTTTGCGCTTCATGACATCCTTGGTTTCATTGATCTTGCTTTGTAAGACCAACTTGTGCAATTTCTCCTCGTGACTTTCCATCTCACAGTACTGCTTGACTTGTGCAAGTGTGACATTTTCTTTGTGCCCAAGAGAAATGACTTCATCAAATGCAAAAAGAATCTCAAAAGCCGTTTTGCCAATGCCCTCTTCGTCTAGGGGATAAGAGTATTCAGGCACCTACCAACGGTTAGGGAAGCCACAGTATTATTCAAATATATGATTTTGCAATTAATGAAATCTTGTAATGCATGATACATGGGAGACTTTTCTACAAAAGGAGTCTCAAGCAGGCAGCAACAGTGACTTCACAAAAGTGAACATCAATGATATCAATGCCAAGCATATGCATAATGAACACACAATTCTTCTAGCTTCACCTTCAACATAAAACCATGAAGCGGAAGGAGAGGAGAGAAACGAGACTAGATGAAGAAGTAGACATCAGTGCATCACCATTCTAGGGGGTAAACAGATGCAAGTGTCAAGAGTTCCATAAGTTCAACATAAAAATAATTAGTTGTCAAACACAAAAAGGATACCAGTTTCGAGAGCAGCCTCAACGTCTCCAAATCATCAAGAATGTTGCTCTGTTTATTCGTCACAAGAAGCAAGTACAATGACTCAATCGGCTGATACACATAACGCACGTTTTCAGTCTCGACATAAGTGTGCTGTTTTCCTGTTCCAACTAATTTGGGAAAAGCTGCAAGATACCCCTCAATACGTATACGAGACATATCAACGAATTGCCTAGAAACGAGCGCTGTGAAAGCACAAGAAAAGAGAGTCAAAAGTGTCCAAGACAAAATCTGATCATGCGAAACGACATGCACATGGAAATAAGAATGATTAGATTATTTTCTTATAATGAATTTTAGGGCTGGACATGGTCTTGTTCGGTTCGATTCTAAAGAGAATCAAACCGAACCCGAATTTTTGGATATTTAGTAAATGGAACCGTCGGGTCCAAATTTAATTGTGGAACCGTTCAAGTTCGATTCTATTCGATTCAGCTCGATTCTATTCAGTTCTAGGATTCCGTACAATAATTAATTTTTTTTTATATTTTCAATAACGCTACATTAATTCGACTATGACATGTTCAATCTTGACTCTTACAAAATAACATATTTCA